GGGTGTAAGGTTGCTTTTGTTCAAATTCACCCTGAACCCGAGAGATGTGATGTGAGTGAGCACACGACAGGTGCCCTGCAGTACTTTCATCTTCGATTCGGCTATGATGAGCCAATCATCTAAGTATGTCAAAATCCGCAGACCTGACATTCTCAGAGGAGCTAAGCCTGCCTCCACACACAGAGAAAAAGTCCTTGGGCTTAGGGCGAGCCCAAACGGGAGGACTGTGAATTCGTAACATATGCCTTGATAGGCGAAACGAAGAAACTTCCTGTGTGGCGGATAAATGCTTATGTGGAAAAAAGCATCTTTCAGATCGACCGATGTGAACCAGTCGTTCTGTTTTATGGCGCGGGTCAGAGTGCCGTGGGTTAACATTCTGAAATTGTATTTCCTCAAATGTTTGTTCAACACTCTTAGGTCCAAAATGGGGCGGAGAGAACCGTCCTTCTTTGGAACCAGGAAATAACGAGAATAAAATCCTTGATTTATCTGATTGGGGGGCACCACCTGAATCGTTCCCTTTAATAGGAGGGAAGAGATTTCCTCGTTCAAAATGTGAGCGGCGCTCTCCTTCGTGCGAGAGGAAGGAACGCCGTTGAAATGCGGGGGTTTTATTACAAACTGCAGTCTGTAGCTCTGCATTACAGTTCGCATCACCCACTCGGGAGCCGAAACAGTCTGCCAGGCCGAATCGTAACTCGCGAGTGTCCCCACCAGAGCCGGAGAAGCGCTGGCGTTCTCGCGTGCACCCAGTTGGCTCATTTGTGATGCAATGACGCCCTCTAGTGACCAGACCAGGGGCGACATGCAGGGGTTCAGAGAGATGTTCTCTCTCTGCAGAGAGATGTACTCTCACTGAAACGAATTCATATGATTCGTTTGTTTTATTGTGTTCTTTGTGTTTTTTGTGTTGGGGAACACAGGGGCCGAAGCCTTTATTAACTGGGTGAGGGGAACAAAGTATGTGCCGTGTGGTGACACTGCTTGTGAACTTTTCCTCACAACAGACCCCCTGAACGTGGGGGGAGAGCACACAACGTCCATTGAACGCATGGGCCGGGCAGCCACGAGAATGGGGTGGTCGCCCTCTCCATGAGAAAGCCTCCGTGTTTTGGACAGGGGCTCGGGGGCAAAAAGGGAGTCCGAAGAGCTTGCGGCTCGAGAACGTAGACTCAGCGGCCCCAACGGTCGAACATTAGGCCGGCCGCAGGAGAGATGAAACGTTAAGGGCCCTGACAGCCAAGGCCGAGGATTTGTAAGCGGCCTGGTGAATTGAGGCAGAAAAACGGTCCATTTTATTGGGCAAAACCGGCTTCGGGGGAGCAGCCGCTCGTTCACACACGTCCAGGAAGATAGACTGGGGTAAAGCGGGGGCGTTAGCCAGGGGAATGCTAGAGGGTGGGATGGCCTCCTCGTCCTCCGAGACCGCGAGAAGGCCCGCATCGTCATCGTCGCCGGAGCCAGCTGGTTCGACAGCAAACTGGAGGTTACCCGCGAAGATGTCCTCTTCGGGAAAAACAGGATTGGGCTGGTCAGCCCAGTTGAGAGACGTTGCGCCCCGGGGGGCCCCCGGTAGCGCGTCGTCATCACCGTGTCTCCCATCCGAGTCCGAAAGGCCGAGCTCGACGCACTGGGTTGTGGCAACTTTGAGACAGCGCCGAAGGAGCTTTTTAGGCAACGTGAGGCAATGGCTGCAGTTTTCAGGGTTCTCCAAAGCCTCTTCAGCATGCTTGAGGCCCAAGCAGACCACGCAGAAGGGGTGCGGATCCTTAGTGGCGATCAGCGCGCCGCACGTGGCCGGGCAGGCCCGTGATATGCAGCCCTCGAGAGAAGTAGGTTTGGAGAGCGACATGCCGGCGAAAAACTGAGTAAAATCAGTGGCGGGCAGCCGTGGAAAAGGGGAGCAGGTGAAAATAATCACAGAGCGTGGGCGGCTCAGGATGCAAAAACAGCTTTTTTCTGGGCTGAATAAAAGACTGTCACGTCTGGCGGAGGCTGATCTTGACGATATGTCCTCCTGAAGACACGAAAAGTGAGCAGTGATAAATCCAACCCGAGCTGTGAAGTGCAGAGATCGCGAGTCAATTTTCGTTGACGAAAGCAACACTATGCACTAGTACTGTAAGAAAGTTATTTTCTATGGTCACGAAAGTATCATTTCTTAGGGTTGATATGAACTTACACTGAATGTTCACTGGATGAACAGATTAGTGTCACAGTGTCTGGTTGTGGTGCCCTGGACTGGCCACTTGAGGGCGCTCTTCCTGTTTCTTTGTTACATGTTTTGAACTCTGTTTCCCATAGTCCTTTGCCTTGTCATTCTGTTCTGATCATGATCACCTGTTAGTAATTTACTCATCATCCCATCACTATTTATACCATGCTCACTCTGTCTGTCTTTGCTGCAGTATTGTTTGAGGTTACGTTGTCTTTTCTGTTCCCTGTGTTTGAAGTTACCTTTTGCCAAGTTTTTGTTCTGTTCTGATTATTTGTTACTTTAATAAACTACTGCATTTGGATCTACCTTGTTTTCTCCTGGCATTCCGTGACAGAATACTGCAGCCACTACAAGATCCAGCAGTTTGTTTTTCTTTTTCCCTTTTTGAAAAATGGACATTCGGATTGTCCCTCATGCCACAGGGAAGGAGCGAATGGATCGATACCGGACTCTGATGGCTCGGAGGCAGCAAGGAATGGAGGTTGGTGGTTTTGCCCAGACCTTTTGGACGTTGGCGGTGGGGCTGAATTATAATGAGGCTGCACTTAAGGACCTCCTTAATGTCTGTCTGGATGATCCTTTGCCCCAGTGGGAGATGGAAGGACTCGAGATCCTAGACTTCTGGGGCTTCGTCAAGTATCTCCATGGTCGAAGTCAGTGGGCAATACCGGGCCAATCAGAACCCTTCCGCAGGAATTTTCCCTCCACCTCTACCCTTCAGACTCCCACTAAGCGGCGGAGGGTGAGAAGGAGGACCGTAGAGCCCACTCCAGAGCCCGCTCCAGTCCGGGAGCCCACAGAGCTCATTAAGGAACTCACTCCAATCCGGGAGCCTTCTGAGTCCACTCCTGAGCCCGCTCCAGTCCGGGAGCTCACAGAGCTCACTAAGGAA